TCACTTTAGAAACACACTTTACGGACCTCAACCACCAATTCAAATAGTAAACAACTAAATGTAAACAAAGAAAAATCAAGGAAATAACAATAAAACAATCAGCTGTTAAACTATAGGTTAATACATGTGTTCCATATGATCAGATAATGCATACTGGCTAACCCATTATTACTACCATACAAATTTTTAGATTATTCATACCGGCAAACGTATTACTACCATAAATAAATAAAACTCAAACTTTACTAATTATTTGGAAATCTACACAGATTTTATTGACCTATTAATTAATAAAATCGGTCCAGTAGAACTGTAGATATAGTTGTAGAAAGTTAACAAAAATCTCTCCAATTCAATATTTTCTCACCACAATAAATTAGGAGGTTGCTAAGCTTTTTTGCAAATAACTCTTAAACGGTGAGGAAATCGACCAAAGTGGAAGGTGATATTCTGAAAGAGAATACAATTTGCTACAAAGTACTCTTAGGCGTTTTTTGAAAATATTCAAAAAAGGCAACCTAAAGTTAACTATAAATTGAAATTTTAAAATATTAACTATAAAAAAACACAGTTTTTAATGTATTTTTGCTTTTTATTCTTTATTCACCACAAATATTTAATAAAATCAAACTTTCATAATTATTTGCAAATCTACACAAATTATGCTTTCCAACGATACATTAGTTAACAAAATCGGTCCAGTAGAAGTCTAGATTTAGTTGTACAAAGTTTAACAAAAATATCCCTAATTCAGTATTTTTAACAACTAAAAATTTGGAGGTCACTTAACTAATTTGACAATAACTTTTAAATGGTGAGTAAATCGTAGAAAATGCACGTGATATTCTGAAAGAAGATAAAATTTCCTACAAATACCTTCTGTGTATTTCTTTAAATTATTTAATATAGGTGGCCAAAAGCTGACTACAAATATAAACTTGAAAATAAAAACCTGAAAAAACAGTTTTTAATGTATTTTTGTTATTTTTATTTTTCCACCACAAATATTAAATAAAATCAAACTTTCATAATTATTTGCAAATTTACATGAGTAAGGCTTTCCAATGACTCATTAATTATCAAAATCGGTCCGGTAGAAGTCTAGATTTAGTTGTACAAAGTTTAACAAAAATATCCCAAACTCAATACTTTCTCATTATTATAAATTCGGAGGTTGCTTAGCTTTTTTGCAAATAACTTTTAAATGGTGAGGAAACCGACCAAAGTGGAAGGTGATATTCTGAAAGAGAATAAAATTTCCTACAAATTGATACCATACACTTCTTGGAAACACTAAAAAAGGCAGCTAAAAGTCGCACCCAAATAAAAAGTGTGAAAAACACCGTTTTCAATGTATTTCTTATGGAAAACATGTTTTTTTGAAATTTTCCACCATAAATCATAATAAAAACAAACTTTCATAATTATTTGCAAATCTACACGACCTAAGCTTTCCAACGACCCATTAGTTAATAAAATCGGTCCAGTAGAACTCTAGATTTAGTTGTACAAAGATTTTTAAAACTGAATTATATATAGAATAGATAGTTTTCAGAAGAGTGTTGAAGGTACAGACTTGGTTTTGTGATAAAACAAAAGCCAAAAAAATTTACCACAAAAGCAGTTTTTAAGAGTTCTGCCATAATATGGGTATTACCCAATTTGTGTGGGTCCAACCCAGGAAAAATATAAATTATGGTAATTACTTTAAAACAATTTTAATATTTAAAAAATCATTGCTCAAAAACTATTCGACACTCAAAAATGAAACCACGCTTAAATTTTTGGAAATTTTATGTACTTTAATTGTTACATTTGAGTAGTATTATAAAAAATGCACGATTAATAAGTTATAGACCAAAAACTAAAAAAATTACATACATTTTTTAATATTTTACTTATTACGCAGGGAGCACAGGGATCTCGAAGCTGCAAACTTGGTTTTGAGTTACCCTAACTGGTCCCAACAACATATTAAAAATGCAGCAATACATCACGCTTTGCGATTTTAGCCTCTTTTTATGTACGATTTGACTGGCCTATAATGGCAACTAAGGGACCTACAGTTTATAGTGGAATCCGAACCACATTTTTCCTTGTAATTAACGAAATGGTCTAATTATCAGGATAGTACTGCGGATAGTCGTAGTACTCACTAGTGCGGTTAATCCACACCAGGGAGCATCGCATCCACAGTGCATGCCTATAAATATCCACAATTCGTAATATAAACAAATAATCTCAACTGATTTTAATAAGGTAATAAATTGAAAGAATAACAAATACAGCTGAGGTATTTTTAACATTAGGTATAGGAAAGTTCCCTTTAGAAAGGAATTACGACCTTAAAGGGCAATTTATGAAATATTGGATAGTATTGTGCAAGGTCTCTCGTATGACTATCATTTTAAGTATATGGTTTATGGGGGTGTGACTTTTAGTTTTCTCAAAAGTTCATGGGTACCGGTACTTTGGAATTATGGATGTTCCTTTGGTTGAGCCTCTTCCACAAAGCTATATTAGATAATGGGTGTGTGTGTGTGTTTATACATACTTGGTTTTTTTCAGCCAGCAGCTATTATTCCTAGTTTTGCATACCAAAAGGGTTAGGCTTTTTGAATGAGTTCAGCAATACAAAAAATGTTGAAAAATATATTTTATGTACGGAAATCCTGTTTTAACAAGACGCTCAAGCCTTCCTCACTGTCTCTGTTATGTAAGCTAGCAATTAGTTGAGCATTCCTCAACTTGATAAATCTTAGTTTGAGATTTTACTCCACCATCATCTCTGTAATTTACATACAACATATTAAAGGAACACAATGAAATTATTCTTCTAGCTTCCCAGCCATCCGTTTATAGCTGTAGTTAACTTTCTTAGCGTGCTCTTTGAACTGGCTAACGTTTTACTTAACCGAAAACTACTAGTGACTTAATTCAAATTGACTATATTGTTGCGCTTGCAATTAACGTAAAAATATTAAATGAGTTAAGATTAGGCGTTAAGAACTGTTAAGATTAGGCCTGCAAATTGAAGTTTATAAAAAACAAACTTAAGTGGCCGAGATTTCAGCCAAAATTTGTAGTGCAAGCCCTGCTATTTCAATTCTAAACAATTCTGGGTAATTTAAGCTAGATAACTTTAAGCCGATATAAATAATACTAGTGTACCTGTTGCTCGAAATCGAGCAATTGTCAAGTACCGGTATTACACAGAAGTTATTTTAAAACTGCAGTAATAACAGTCATAATTTTTGATGAGTCTAAAACACCCGACTAAATGCTTATGTAACTAATTGAAATACTCCCGGTATTTAATAGCGCTTTGAAATAATAAACGCTTCTTGTACAAATATTTTAGAATTTTTTGGACCCGGCCTTTTTTTTGTGTTTTCTACAAATGTTTCCCGACTTAAATCTGTTACCAGTAAACATTTCTTGTATGTATTTATTTGATCTGACTTTAGGTAGGTTTACTTTACCACTGTGACAATATTATGTGTATATTCTTCATGTTTTTTTTTTTTTTTACTTCCAAAATAACTTGCTTAGCATAATTGGCAAAAGTTATTCATCCCCAGAAGTGATTGTGTACCTGGATTCCTTACTGTGAGACCAGGCCTCTCCTCTACTCTTCTGATAAGAATAAGATTCCCTATTAATTGTCTCCTCCTCCTGTTTTCAACATTTCTCCTTTAAATTCAAGAAATTTTCTGTTCCAACAAAACTGATTAACTGTTTAGGTTTTGTTTATAAACTCCTAAATATTACAAACATCAATATTTACTCCCAAAAAGCTGGTGAGTTTATTAGCGAATTTCCCTATAGGGAAGTAGCTAAAATTACCGTAGGTGGCACTGTGAGACCTAGGCCCGGGACCGATTTACTTTTTCATTTTGATGTCCCCAGAGGCCAAAAACACCATTCGTTCAAATTGTTATATATGTATATATATACATAGATTTATATATATATATACGTCCGTGAACGCGATAACTTGAGTAATTTTTGTCCGATTTTGATGAAATTTCGTTTAAAGGTGTAAGGCGGGATAAACTTGAATGAGTTCGCGAACCAGCATGATTGGACCATGGGAACGGGGTTTTACGGGGGGTTTAATGGGGTAAAAAATGGGTTTTCTCATTTTTGACCCTCAAAACACAAAATTTCCTAATTTATCTCTAGACCTTTTTAAAGAGCTTAAAAAAACAAATAATTTGGTATATCAAAGTGTTTTTGTACGGTTATTGGTAACAGAGAAAATTCCAAAAAATGTAAATGTAAAATTCCCATACTATTATGGAGAGTATTGTAAAATGTTGTAGTTTGCTTGTTTATGGATATATTTTGATCATAATTGGCAAATTTATTTATTTTATACTAGGCTATTACTATTTTACAAAAAAATACACTTTATTTGTTTCCTTGTTACAGCAAACCTAGGTACTCATTAAACCTAATGTTATTTAAAAAGGTTTAGTTGAAAATGAATTCAGACAAATGGAAATTCGCTTAGTCGGCAGGTTTGTTGCGGCGGGGGTATTTTTATACACAGCTGTTTTTGCTTTTCAATTTATTTTCAATGTAATTCTTATGGGGAAAATGAGACCTTTGAGAGTGTCTCGACCCTTAAGGGTAAGAGATTTTAAATTCTAAAATCTTTATGCAAAACTACAAATTGTGACAAATTATTTGACACCTCAAACGTTAAAATCGGTCCAGAAATAACGGAGGAGTTTTGTTCACAAAAAACAGCCCTCACGTATTAATATAAGAGATTGTTTGTATTAATTACAACTTTTTCACTTGTTATTACACTAGAGAAAATACAATATATTATTGGAAATCCCTCTTATATGATAACAGGACGAAAGGTCTACACGATTACTGACGTTTTCAATTACATACCATACCACTGTCAAGTTGATTTGATTTTATCAGAGACATAGAGGTGCAGTAAGCTGTATAACAGTGCATTTACTAAGAGATGACAGACTTACCCTGATGAAATAACAAAACATGTTGGCTCAGTAGACAGGCTGGGGTGGACCGGGTCGGCCCGACGGATGGGTCATCGGATAGAATGTCCAGGGGACTCGACAAGCTCTTGAGGCTTCCACATAACCTCTACAATGGTCCGTCACACACCTAACACCCAGTCGCGACCTCGAGACCTCACGCGACACCAAACATCACGCAACAAGACAAAACACCAGATCCAAGACAAATCAACTCACCGGTAACAGTTGAAATCTAATAGTTTAAGTTTCTCTGAAGCGAACATAGCTCGGGGTGGAATTTTCAAACCTGAAACAGAAAAAAATATATAGGGTATAATAACTTATTTCTTATAATTATGAATCAAGTTTCCTATGCATTTTCTTCATATTAATGGTAATATTATTTGTGCTTTTTTTTTACAAATAACCTTATGTGACAAGGTTTAATTGACCAATACCAGACTTAAATTCTGTAATACAATAATGCTGCAAGACAAACAGTGAACAAGATATGCCTTCTTCACCAGTTCTGAGAAAGGTACATACTTTGATCTTCAGCAAAATGGATTGGTAACTACAGATATGTCATCATTACAGACCTTAAATCTATTAGGTAGTGTTGGTAGAGTTTAACTATTATTTATTACTAGTTGCTCTGCCCGTGCTTCGCTACAGGGTGAGAATGCAGAAAAGAATAAGTCACTTTTTTAAATATACTAGGCCTATAAGAAACAGTTACAACACACTTACCAGGAAACATATAGGCAAAGCTCAATCGTACTTATTGATTATTTAAATGCAGATTTTTAAATGTGTTATCATCACTTTATATAGTGTATTGCATTTAAAATATATGCAAAAGTCTACTTCATTGACTACATGTCAGCAAGAAACAATTCTTCATGTAAACAAATATAATTAAATAGCAGAACAAAGCTTAACAGCTGGGTTAGATAATTTTCTTCATAAGAAATACATGGGGATTTTGATGGCCTGTGGGGCAAAGCCCGAGGACTTTATTACAGGAATTGGTAAAAGAGGGCAAAAAATATGTCTACACAAAAAATACTTATTTTGACACATCGTTTGTAAAGATCCGTCCATTATTAACGGATGAGTAGTATTTTGTAGAAATCGCCTTCACGTAATATATATAAGGATAAGGATTTTATTATTCAAAAGACACTTATAATAAGCGTTTATAAACTAATTTTTAACCAATTTCAACACCTTTCCATATTTATTTGGTAATGCCACACAATAGCCCACTTTAACAAAAAATTATGTGAAAAGAACAAGCTTCAACACAAATCTAAACGCTCACCTCCTGACACATCAAAATATTTCACATTGTACAAACCGTATGTCAATGAATGGGGAAATATATCACTCAACACATTCAAATCACCGATTAATAAAACAGAGTAAGGTGGTGATGACTAACGAGAAATGTTTTAACATTAGTAAAAATGATAAAGAAATAAGTTGTTATTATATGCTTATTCTAAATTTAAGAAAATATAAAAGTTAAGATGTTAAATAAACTGGTACCTTGGTACCTAACTCGTTCAAAAACGTTAATCATAGACTATGAACAAAATTATTTTAGCAAAGGAAATTCATAACATTTTTAGTATCCACACGCCTTTGATAAAACATACCTTTAAACCTGATTTACTATACTGTACCTGATTTAAAAGGCTATACTGTAGTTTACAATCACTTAGTAGCCTATCCGCAGAGTTATATTAAACATATTTTTTTAAGTATAGGGTTTTAAAATTTTAATCTATTCTTGCCTGTTTTTGTCAAATCTATACCGTAGTTCTTTAGTTAAAGCAACTAATATAATCGTCATGAGCAATAGCTTACTATTTTTGTCTTAAATGGAACCAACCTTTAATAAAAATTAGATGTGGAAAATATGTTTTGATATAAATAAACATCGTGTTGCTGTAAAATGTGTTTACTTAGCCCTTTGAGGGCTAGATACAAAAGTCTTCCATTACCTCATGATTGGGAAAAGCTAAACCTATGTACAACCTATTGTAGCATAGTAAAATGTTTTTGTAGTCACCACCAATCAATATGACAACAATTGATGACAAACTACTGACATTATTAAGCCTTGTCAAATGCCTCGGCCTCTTGTTGGATTATTCTTCCTTATTTCATCATACAAATTTTATACGGAATGTCAATGAGGTCACGATAATGTTCTAAAATTAGAAGGCCTATGTGTTTGGAAACCAAACAAACCATTTGCACACCCCAAGCAATAAGGGAATGCACCTGAATGTCATTTAAAATACATTTGGGGGAACTCTCATATTGTTAACAAGGGTAAAAAAAGATGCATTTATGGGAACTGTAGGAAAAAGCTTAGGGAGCGGTCCAAACCCTGGTCCTGTTACTATCTAACGTCGACATGTTGTTCGAAAGCATCATTAATTGATAGCCCAATGACAAATGGCAACACGATTACGATATCACTTGGAATCGAACCAGCAAATTTTAATTTGATGGCAAGCACTGAAGCACTAATCACTCGGCTACCCAGACAATATTTGCTGGTAACCATGCTTGGCATAGTTACGATAGATACAGTAGGCCTAATATTAGTTTACACAAATATCTAAATAATTGGATCAACAATACTTAGCCTAAAAAACAAAACTAATCCTGTAAAATGAAAACTTGGCCTATACTAATATTAAAACCGGATAATCTTAATTTCATTTTTATTTATTTAGTGCCTACAGTTTTGTTGAAAAATTCCTGACGCGGTAATAGGCTTTTTTCAGCAAAACCCCTTTTACTGCTCTCCCAAATCAGACAAAATCATGTTTAAACTTGCCAAGTTCAGGGACCGCATTGTAAAGCTTGACTCCATTATATCCTAACTGTCTTTCAAAGAAATTGGACTTGTGTTTAGGGGAGGATGGAGTTTCGGCTACCAAGTCATGTGTGTATTGTGTTTTTAGCGAATTTCCCATATAGGGAATAAGCTTTTAACGTAGTACTCATGGTAAGAACTGGACCCAGGACCGATATAATTTTTTATTTTGAGGTCCCTAGAGGCCAAAAACACCATCTGTTCAAATTCATAGGTAGGCCTAAATATATTTGTCTGATGATCAGATTTTGATGACATTTGGTATAAACGTGTAAACCTACATTTATTCAAACGAGTTCGCAAACCAGCATGATCAGACTATGGGAACGGGGGTTTATGGGGGTTTTTTGGTGTAAAAATTGGGTTTTCCCATTTTTGGCCCAAGAAACATAAAATTTGGCAATTTCCAAACTATTTTGTAGAGCAAACAATTCAGTATAAAGAAAGTTATTATGCGCCTAATGGTTACAGAGAAAATCTCAAGAGATTGTAAATTTAAAATTCCCATGGACAATTCTTATGGATAATTATTCTTATTAATTATTAATATTCTTCATATTCATCAGAAGATAATTATTAATATTCTTATGGAGAATAAGTAAACTGTTGTAGGCCTAGTTTGCTTGTTTAAGAACATATTTTGATCAAATTTGGAAAATGCATTTATTTTGTTTTTAACTACAGTATAAACATTTTACAAAAAACCCCTTTTTACCCTCCCTGTTGCAGCAAACCTAAATACTCATTTAACTAATGCTGGATACTAATAATAATAATGGATACTTTTTAGAGTAAATTCAATTAGGCAAATGGAAATTTGCTTAGTCTGCAGGTTTGCTGCAGCGGGGGTATTTGGTATTGAGGTAGGAAACTATTCATTGTTTTTGTGTACTGAAGAATCTTCATAAAAATTCATGTAGGCTACTTATTCTTTAAGACATGAGGATTCCATAAAAAAATACTAACTAGGGGCATGTAAGGACATAAGTCCCTAAAAAGCGTCAATGGCTATGCCTGTACACCATATCTTTGTCTAAAAAAAGTCACTCTATTTGCTTTGGTTGTTGTTATCTATATAATATTCAATCCAATGTTTCTCCTTTATGCGTTACTAAACGACTATCCGATCGTGATGAAACTTAAGGGAAGTAAATAGGTACTATACAAAATGAACAGTTTTATTATCCACATTTATGGTTTTAGGGATCCAATTTCCCAGTTGTCGAAGCCAATACTGACAGTTGACACGAAAATCTTTGGTTTGGTTTTTGGTTTTCAAAAAGTCTTAATTACTGTATAGATAACGTTATCCCTGGTTTTAATATAGTACACAGTACATTTAAAGAGTTAACTGGCTAAGAAGTAACTGCCAACTGCCTGTATCGAATACTGGCTTGGAATGTAGCGCGATCAACTATGTTAAAGTAAACAAAAATCAGCTGCGTATGGCTTCCAATGCTATTCTTATGGAGAACATTTTACGTTATATCTCAATTTTGGTTAACATTTTGGGAATTCCACTATTTTTCCCGCCGTCACGGGATCGAGACCTTTAATTTGAGCCCTCTCCCGTCGTTCTACGACTTCCCAGTCGCCCACAATTTTGACGCAAAGAATCGGCTTACCGGTACGTAATTAATATATAGATACCTCTTAGTTTAATGTAATAAGGCTGAAAAAAAAATTCTTTTTTGTACCTATGAATTTTTAAAACGCGAAGACATAGTTTAGCGTAAAATGGATTATCTAGAAAAGGGTATTAGATAAACACAAAAACCTTTTTTTACTAATAATCCTTATTAAATTAGCTATCATATGCTGCAAAAAAAGTGCATGGGGTTTTAATACCTTCCTAGTTTTTATCAAGTTAAAAATCAAATTATGAATTTATTTTTTTCCGTTTGATTTACAGAACTACCTTACGGGTTTCAAGGAAATAAAATGCCCTAGACTTACACTATTACAAAATTTTTTTAATTACTAAATTAATCTAGTCATATTTCAACCCCTTAACTGTTTCAAAAACTTAATTTTATATTACAGCAGTAATTTAAAATATATGAACGATAAGATAGATACTGTCTGATACTGATACTGTCTTTGAGCTGTCTGAGCAAGTAACAACAGGCTTTCCTAGTCAGCACACTTTGAAGCCTGAGCTTCCCGAGCAAGTAGCATCAGGCTTTCCTAGTCAGCACACTTTGAAGCATGAGCTTCCTCTTCCTAAGCAAGTAATAACAGGCTTTCCTAGTCAGCACACTTTGAAACCTGAGCTTCCTGAGCAAGTGGCAACAGGTTTTTTCAAGTCTTAACATGAAACTCTATTGTTGTACCAGTACTGTTATTGGCAGGTCTTTGCTCAGTCAGTATCTAGTGCTCCTTGATGAAACATAAAATATTATATTGCAAGTGTTTAACGAAATGAAATGAATGAAATGAAAAATGTCTTTATTTAAGAGTTCAAGTTAGGATTTGCAATTCCTCTCTACCACTTAGCCTCTAAAACAATTAAAAAACTATTCACTTATATAAATAAATTTAAATAATCTAAAGTCCTATATATTAAATAGGAAATCATGAAGAAATTCAATTTAGTAACCCTAAAAAATCCCATTCACACAAGATGCCAACAACCCGTCACACCAGCGCCAGAGACTCACCCACGCCTGCTGTTCAATATAATAGATTTTATCTCTGCCCCAAAACTTGCACGGTTTTCTCTGGGTTTTATATGGTCAGGAAGAGAATTCCACATTCGAATTGCTGATACCAAGAAAGATTGATTAAAAACTGTTGAATTGGTGTAGATAAAAGGTGAGAGCCTCTACGAGTGGCACGGGTACTGATGTCAGAAATAAAATGGAAGTTATCTGATAAATACTTGGAAATTTTACTATTGATAATGGAGTGAAGAAGACGGAGGGTGTGAAATTCCCGAAGTTCATTTAACTTCATCAATGAAAGCAAGTTGAAATAGGGAGTAACATGGTCATATCGCCTTAAACATGAATCCGATACAGGAATTCTGCGTTAGCTGAAGTCTGCTAGAAAAATGTACAGTATGAGATCAATTGAAGAGAAATGTTCAAAACTCCATCAAATTATTTGTACATAGGTACGGTACTGAATGTAATTAAGATACAAATAAATGAAATATATATGTAAGTACAAGACATTATTGTTCATAATTTTAATTATGTCGTTTGTACATATTAAATTTAAGTTCTTGAGACAGCTATGGGTTAAAATACTGTATGATGATATTAATTTAGTATAATAATTAATCATTAGGCCTATCAAGTTCTTTGTAATAGTGTAAGTCTAGAGCATTTTAATTCCTTGAAATCCTTACACGGGAAAAAAATAAATTCATAATTTGATTTTTGACTTAACAAAAATCAAAGAAAGAAAAATCTTGAAGGTATTAAAACCCCATGAATTTTTTTGCAGCATCTGATAGCTTATTTAATAAGGATTATTAGTAAAAAAGGTTTTTGTGTTTATCTAATACCCTTTCCTAGATAATCCATTTTTCGCTAAACTATTTCTTCACGTTTTAAAAATTAATAGGTTAGGTTAGGTACTAAACTAAGAGGTATTAGTATTTTTTTCTGGAATCCTCATGTCTTAAAGAATAAGTACATGAATTTTCATGAAGATTCTTCAGTAAACAGAAAAGTTATAAATTATTTTCTAAAAGTAAGCAAGTTTTATTCCGCGACATCCGATGGTTAGCACTAGCGGAAATGAAAAACGTTAAAAGGCTATAAAAAGAAAACGGTAAGAGGTATTGAGTTAAAATTTGGTATGGTGACTTATCTTTATGGTTAGAACAAACAAGCCAAGTTTCATCAAATTCTGAGATGGTGGGTGAGATGACCTGGTTGGACTGATATGGAATTACCCATAGTTAAATTTTAGGTTATATCCGCATAACACCCAACCTACCTACCTCAAATGTTTAAAATAAATAAGTACTGAAGTAGTTCATAATCAACGTTCAGTTGAATTTATAAATCCCTCTACCTCTTTGTACAAACTTAATGTTTAAGATGTTAACAGTACAGAAATGGCGACAGAAACAAGCAGACAATAAGAAGCGTAACTTACAATAATAAAATTCAAAGTATTGTAGTTAGCCTAATTCAGTTTTTGTGACAGCAGAAAAATTTGTGCACCATTGTTTTCAGGTAAGACTCTAGTTTCTAATGATATATAAATTACTATGGTTCCCTGTGGTAACCTTTAGACAAAATTCCCATAAAAGGGTCCATCAATCAGGTCCAATGTGCACATCAAGAGGAACAGGCCAACATAACTTTATACTTTATACTTTCTTATGAAATGGCGACCATACTAGGCCTATGTAGGTATTTTAAGCCAAGTATGAATGGAGATGAGTGCAGGATGAGTGGCGCGATCTTGTAGTCTTGTTAGTGACTAAGGCCGATATTCCTTAGACACAGCTGTTAATTAATAGCCCAAACAGCTAATGGCAACTAAGGGACCTACAGTTTATAGTGGAATTCGAAACACATTTTTTCCTTGGTATATATAATTGGTCTAATTATCAGGATAGTACTGCGGATAGTAGTAGTGCTCACTAGTGCGGACGTTAATCCACACCAGGGAGTATCCCATCCACAGTGCATGCCTATAAATATCCACAATCCGTGACCTCCAAGTAGCTGGATTACAGGACGACGCCACCCGTTAATCTGTCTATGGCAGAACTTTGGAAGTTGGGAGATTTGGTTAGGCCTAGGCCTATTCTCTGTCATTCAAAACCAACTTGACATTTTTTGTTGAAGGACATTGGACGTGTTACTTATTTTCAGATAGGCTAACTTAATCAAACATTTAAAAAAATTGAGCATAATTGAACTCAACCCATGTTTAGGTTGAAAGGGTTCAAAAGACAAAGCCAGCCTAGGCCTACTTTGTCCAATGGTTTTTGTTAAAAGGGCTAAAGTTAAAGGTATTTTACCTTAGCCTAACTTAATGCAATGGATTTGGGACAACTAGCTTATTACATTAATTTACAACTGAACTAAGTGATGTGTGATTGAACTAATAAGTAAAACTCCTTATAACAACTTTGGATCAGGTGTTTTTATTTACAAGTGGTGGAATATTATGATCCTTGCTAGTTAGTTACAAAGAGGCCTACTTACATTGTATGGATGGTATAGCGAGTGCTATGGCAAGTGGTTTTATAATATCTAGCGCAATAGACACAATCAAATATGCACTGATATGAATGAAATCACAATAAATGGATAGAAAGCAAACACTTCCTTGCCTCGAAAATAATATAAATATAGCCGGACGCGTGCAGACGACCGTCCTAAAGTGTGAGATACGCAATGAAAGACGTCACTCTCATTTCATTTTGTCATTTGATTAAATTCGTCGTCTGTCTGTACAGTGTACAGTATGATAAAAACAATCATAGATGGCAGCACCTGTCGACAAGGGCGATGGTGCAGCCGGCTGGCGGCAATGCAATAACAACACGACAAGTACAAGCACAAGCACAAGTTTACAACCATCGGATTTGAGTTTGGCCACTGCAATAAACAATACCCCTAACGCAGCAAACCTGCAGGCTAAGCGAATTTCCATTTCCCTGATTGGATTTACAATAAATTGTCTCCTTGAAAATATCACATTCCCTATTTAAATAGAATTTAACGATTACTTAGGTTAGCTGCAACAGGGAGGGTAAAAACGGGTTTTAATTTGTAAAATGTCAATAATTTAGCAAGAAATAAATGCATCTTCAAAATTTGATCAAAATATGTTCATATACAAGCAAACTCCGACCGTTTACTATTCTCCGTAAGAATAACGTGGGAATTTGAAATCGGCAATTTGTTGGAATTTTTCTCCGTAACCATAGGTGCATTATACAACGCTTTATATACTAAATTATTCGTTTTTAAGCTCTAAAAATGGTTTAGAAAGAAATTGCAAAATTTTATGTTTTTTAGGTCAAAAATAGGAAAATCCAATTTTTACCCAATAAACCCCTGTTCCCATAGTCCGATCATGCTGGTTCGCGAAATCGTTCGAATAAATGTAGGTTTACATATTTAAACCAAATTTAATCAGAATCTGATAATTTTTGCTCGAGTTATCGTGGTAATGGACAGACACATAAAAATATATATATGAATTTGAACGGATGGTGTTATTGGCCTCTAGGGACCTCAAAACTAAAAATTAAATCGGTCCCGGGTCCAGGTCTTACCATGAGTACTACCATAGAAAAACAAACTCCCCAAGGAGGAGTATGTTTTATCCATGGTACTACGGTAGTAGCAATTATTACCTTCAAAAGAAATTCTCTAAAAAACTAATAATACTAGGTTTACTATCATTGGCGGTTCCAATTCCAAAGGGGGACTACAGGACCCCCCCCCCCCTTGAACCCTGGAAAATAAATTTAAACTTACATTTTCTTCCTTAAAACATTTGATGTTAATAAACAGACATCAATGTAGTTTTTATTGAACTTAATAAACGATGGCAGTATTAAAGTTCCACATAGATAAACTTTGTGGGGCATTAGCACTACAAATAAAACAATATTTACAGCAGTCAACTGATGACATGCTACGGCAAAGGTGAGCGCGACAGCGACGACGGGGAAACAGCTGATTTCGTGTTCCTAGTGTTCAATTCAAATTGTCTGCTAGCTAAAAACTAACTTACACATAGACATCCATCAGCCATCAGCGGTAGCACCAGTAGCCTATTACCATTGACTATATAAACACTAGTGTTTCAGTTTATATAGTCAATGTTATTGCTGAATGTGATACTATACATATTGTGACAGATTTTTAGTTGACGTCCCAGTATGGTTTCCGCAGTAATATATCGACAATTGATGCAATTGATTGTCCGGGAGCGAAAATTTTTGGGGGCTTTGAGGGGAACAGCTTTACTGGGGTTACTTGTTGTGACCTCAGTAAGGCTTTTGACACTGTCGATCATGACACGTTGTTAATCAAGTTGGTTGAAGCACTATGGAGTCAAGGAGGCTATGGGGCAGTGCACCAGATGTAAAATGTGTATTGCTACTGTAAAAGAAAGCAGTACGTCTGCTGGCTGATGCAACGTCCACTCCACAGATCATTGTAAGCCCATTTTTGTATCTGAAGGCTTGATGACATGTTTTATTAGCTTATATGTATTTGTGTGCCTATTAAATTTAAAAAGTAAAATAGACAATGTTAATTTGAGAGAGGATTTTCATGAGCATGACACTAGATCTAAGAACCTTTTTGATGTGCCATTTGTTAGATTAATAAAAAGTCAAGTTCAACACAGCTTATATATTAAGTTTAAGATTTTTTTAACAGACTCCCATGTGAAGCCCGAAACCAGAATTTTTCAAAATTCAAAACCAACCTCAGAAACCTTTTATTGGCCAACCCACTGTATTCCTGGAATGATTTTTTCAATATACCAGCAGCATCCGTAAAGTACCTATTTTTAAGTTTTTACCTATTTTTAAGTTTTGACTCTTGATATGTGATATTTATTTGACTTGCATGTGTAATTAGACCTTGTATCTTTTAGTTTTTTAGTTGTGAACATACAATGATTATTTATTATTATATATTTATTGTAGAAGTTTTTGAGAGTTTTGTAGAAGCATGTTGATTGATATTGAATTTGCCTTGTGAATGCCGTGATCATTATGCCTTGTTTAACTGACGATTCCAAATGCATATAATTTGTCAAAAGGAAAATAAATATTCTTATTCTTATGAAATGGAAAAAAACGTAAGGTTAAAAAGCGTGTCTACCTTACTTGCATGACATAATATGCATGACATGTTGCATGACATGTTATATTATAACATGTGAAATGGGAGGTTTTTGGATAATTGGACACAGTTGTTATAGACGTTAAAAATTGCTTTATAAAGTCACCAAACAGCTTTTAGGAGAGATATTGATTCGTAGTCTACAGTAGGCCTATCTTTTGAAATTCATGAATATGCAAGTTCCATCGTCATATTTAAATTTGTTAAATGTCTACTAGCTGGCTCATGACAAATAACAGGTGAAATGGGAGGTTTTTGGACAGTTGGACACAGATATAGACATTAATAATGGCTTAACAGCTTTTAGGAGGACGGAGGACATGGCCGTCGTAGCCTACAAAATGTTTTGAGATTTATGAATGCAACCATCATAGGCCTAGTAAGTTTAAATGAGGAAATCGGAGGTTTTGCTCACAGTTCTCTGAGACACGTTAAAATGGCTTTAAAAAGTCACCAATAAACGGCTTTTAGGAGGATATGGCCGTAGTCTACAGTGTGTTTTGAAATTCATTAATACAATCGTTATAGTTTAATTTTTTAAATATCTTCTTGCTCATGTTAAACAACAGGTGAAATGGGAGTTTATGAACAATTGGACACAGTTTTAGGTGCTAAAATGACTTTAGAAAGTCACCAAACGGCTTTAGAATTCAAAATTTTCCCGGAGGAGGACGGACCCCACAACTTTATTGGGGTGATACTCCACAGCCCCCTAGTGGCCCTCTCCTTGACAAGGTTCTAGAACTGCCACTGTTTACAATGCATATGTTTAGTGCTTGCAAGTTGAAATATTGAGTGGAAAAGCATATTAATCCAATACTTTGGGAAAATGGTATATCTGAAATACGGCTGTGCTAACATTCGTTAAGCGATAGACCCCAGGCAAAGCCTATTTGTAGGGCCTCCCTATTGTAATAGTATATTAATTGTAATGGATTTGTTAGTCGCTCAGGGCCAGCCGATACTCAAGCAACAATCGTTATTTGAAACGAAACCTCAGTAGTCAATATCATGCCAACCCTGCTTTATACCATCCAAAGGATTTTTACTACATACCTATAATTATAAATGAAAATGCTTTATAATGAAATTATAGGCAGTTATGCTCATTAATAGTTAACTCACCACTTAAACAGTGGTTCATAATCAATGCTTCTTAAGTAAACTAGTTTTTCCTTTCCTACTGTGTCCGTCTAGCTTACTCAGTTCAGTTGCTTAATTTTTGTCTGTAGTTTTAGTTGTCAATGTCAAGAGAAGACGTCATCGGCATCGACGACATTTTGACATTACTGATTACTAAACTCGGTCCGGTGGTTGGTGTTGGTGGTTTTTAGGTGGTACAACAGTATAGATAGGTTTTCGTTTTCATGTCTAGTCAGTCTGAGTTACTTTAACGAGTAGAGTAACGTGTTGCAGAAGTTTTTACGGAAGTGGTAAATTGTTTCCCAGTGTTTTTAAATACATATCGTGTTAAGATAGTAATCGTAGTAGAACCCTCACAAAATGACTGATTCAAAATATTTCACTACCACTAAAAAGGGTGAAATTTTCGAGCTTAAGTCAGAACTAAACAGTGACAAGAAAGAGAAGAAAAGGGAGGCTGTTAAGAAAGTGATAGCATCAATGACTGTTGGCAAAGATGTGTCAGCCCTTTTCCCTGATGTTGTAAACTGTATGCAAACTGATAACTTAGAACTTAAGAAATTGGTCTACTTGTATCTCATGAATTATGCTAAGAGCCAACCTGATATGGCAATAATGGCAGTCAACACATTCGTCAAAGATTGTGAGGATGCAAATCCTCTGATAAGAGCTCTGGCAGTTAGAACCATGGGTTGTATCAGAGTTGATAAAATTACAGAGTATTTGTGTGAGCCTTTGCGAAAATGCTTAAAGGATGAAGATCCTTATGTTCGAAAAACGGCTGCCGTCTGTGTTGCGAAACTTTATGACATCAATGCACAACTAGTTGAGGATCAGGGTTTTTTGGATCAGCTCAAAGATCTTCTTTCAGATTCCAATCCTATGGTGGTAAGTTAGTGTTAAACATCTTTTACAGCTTCGACTGAATTACTATTAAGACCTTGGTAGCTTAAGTTACTTAAGCCACGTTTACACGAGGCCAGCAGGCAGTCCAGCTGACTATCCCCAGTTAACTGTCGCCAGCTATTGGCCTCGTGTGAACACTACTGGTGCCAGTTGATACTCCAGTTCAGTGGAAAAAAAGCCTTGAACCAGTGCACTGGCTTGAGGAGTAAATTTCGCACCAGTCCAGTCCCCCCACCTCGAAAAATTGAGTGTGACGTAACTTACCGGTAACCCACTGGAAACGTGTGAACGACTACAGCTCCAGCCATTCCAGTCCTTCCACCTTTTTAACTTGGGAGATAACTTAGTGCTTCTCTCATAACTGTGTCCTGTTTAGCAATCAAGGGTTTTACTTAATCTAGAAGTTAGTCAAAAATAATAAAAGGGCAGATTCTCAACAGAGCTCTATATATTCAATGGGATTTTTTAACCGCAATTCTGTTAACAGTTGAGATGGGGCTCTAGATGAATCTCCCCAAAATCCATTTCCTTGTCCATTCTCATTTCTTGTTGAGTTCTTCTTGCAGCACCTTAGTAGATTCCCACACAAATTCTCGACACAGATTTCAAAAAATATTATTTAGCTCAACGCGGGTGAGGTTTGGAGATGCACTCTCCTCCATGGTCCTAGTTCAACTGGCGACAGTCAATTGGCTACGTCTAAACGGGTATTAGTGCCAGTTAGCTGGCTTCCAGTTCACACACTCAGCTAACGCCAGTCAGCTGGACTGCCTGCTGGCTTTGTGTAAACGCGGCTTTAGTGTCATTTTAAAGGTCACATTATACAGAGAAGGTGCTATTTATTGCCCGGGTAGGCCTACAGTTCCGAAGAGAACCTACAATATATTATTGGATGAAATATTAGTTTGATATTTATATCGTATCAGATTTAGCTTTACGTTATAGTAATATCAATGTATGTTAGTCTATGTTTTTCAAGAAGACTTTTCACTACACTGTGGCGTTTAACTTAGGTTAAAAGATTGTTCAGTTTAGTTTGGCTTTTTTAGTCAATGAGATGTAGGCCTAAGTTGAAGTAGGGGTAGGCCTACAGAAGAAACATATTTATGGGACAACTGTGCGCTAGCTCTGGTATGTTGGCGCAGAAATGTACTTGTAACAAGCAAGAGCCCAAACGCTGAGCACTCTGTGGAAATTCTTAAACCCATAGGGCACAGGGTCTTCCTCGACAGTGAGCGTTCTAGTATATGAGGGCGAAGGAGCGGAGCTGGACTTTGCCCTAGGTAGTCACCATTTTAAGTTTGTGTTAGACCACTTTAGTGTATCCTACCATGAAGTGTGTCCTACTGTTTCTTATCTGTGGCTTAGTTTAGTTTATGACAATAACAAACAAGGTAATATGTTTATTCGATAGTCTACAAGTTATATGCCTTAAAAAAAATGTTTAATTTTGATATCGTATTTGATAGTTTTTACCTACTGAATCCAATAATTCATTAACAAAGTTATTTTCACTGCATATGAATAGTATTAGGTTACTAAAGATATTGGCGTTCAAATATTTAACGTTTGAATGAACAAGCTACAGGACGGATGACATTTACACGGATGAAATTGACTGGGACGGGTGGCGTCGTCCTGTAATCCAGCGACTAGGAGGTCACGAATTGTGGATATTTATAGGCATGCACTGTGGATGCGATACTCCCTGGTGTGGATTAACGTCCGCACGAGTGAGTACTACGACTATCCGCAGTACTATCCTGACAATTAGACCAATTCGTATATACCAAGGAAAAAATGTGGTTCGGATTCCACTATAAACTGTAGGTCCCTTAGTTGCCATTAGCTGTATGGGCTATTAATTAACAGCTGTGTCTAAGGAATATGTCGGCCTTAGACACTAACAAGACTACAAGATCGTGCCACTAATCTCCATTCATACTTGGCTTAAAATACCTACTTTGTATGGTCGCCATTTCATTGAAAAGTATTAAAGTAGGCCTATTAACTATGGTCTTTTTACTTTGTAAATCAAGTGACGGACGTTTAAAAACCCAATTTTATGTGATTTTTTTTCAACTTTCTCTTTTTCCCGATGATTATCACATACAGTATGTCTCTAATTCTTTGGCATTGATGCTGAGCTTATTAAATAATCTTGACGAAATATAATGTTATTTATTTTTACATTTGCTTAACCTACGATAAGGCATGCCTAAAAGGAACCGATTACGTGTGTTGTGTGAATGCATATTAAACCTATATACATGGGAATTGGTATTTTTCTTAACCCTAAGTAAACACATAAGTAAATAATGTACAGATTTATCACAGTAAAAATTCTACTTCTTGTAAACAATGGCTTGCAATGCTCTCCAATTGGAGCTTTGTTTATAATTCTCACTACCTTGTCCTGGAGTATTTTAACACTTCACTTATGAGACTACTATTTCCCCAAAGAATCAAGCCGTAGCTATAACTATGGATTGGAAAAATGCAAAGTAGGCTACCCTTATGCAGGTTTCAGGTACAACACCCATAAGTTTCTAAGCAAACAAATTACCCTAGACAATCTTGCACAAACCAAATCTATCCGAGGAGACCAGCTTAAACATTTATCAATTTTTATTCCTAGAACTGTAATGACATTTTCATTGTTTACATTCGGTGACTCTACTGGATTGTTTTATTTTGATTTTGAGGAGGATTTTGAGTTTTATTCTTATTAAGACAACAGCTTTTAGCATTAAACCACATATAAGCTGAATCAGTGGTGAGCTCAGTTACTGACATGAGATCATAAAAGTTGGAATGAACACTCAAAAAATTGTGTCGTCCACAAATATGATGGTGGAAGATATTTTTATATTGGCTGGTAGGTCATTGATGATAACTGTGATAGAAAGAAGGGTACCTATAATCGAGCCTTGTGGCACACCTGGGCTAACATTCAAGCACCTTGACACCTTGCTTCCTGCATCAAGATTCAAGATTCAAAATAACTTTATTCATTTTTCATACATGTGTACATAGAATAGCGTCAATTTAAACATTTTTCTAACTTACTACATTATACAAAAATATTAGATGTTAATGATTTCACTGCAATATACATGAAATAGACCTAGAGATGAGTTTATATCATTACATTAATAAAAAAAACTCATCTAGAGAGTACAACGGTTTGGATAGCATTACATTTTTCAGTTTTTTCTTAAAAACATTAAAATCTTCTGTGGATTTTAAATCCACCGGAAGAGCATTATAGAATCTAATACCTGCATAGGAAGGTTTCTTTTCATATAATTTAAGATTGTGGCTTGTATAAGCAAATACTCTATTGTTTCTAGTATTATAACTATGGTTTTGTCCTAACGTTTCTATTCTATGAGAATTCTTTTTTATAAACAAAATAAGTTCAAAAATGTATAGACTATATACAGTCAAAAATTCCAATTCAGTAAATAGGTGTTTAACAGAATCATCCCAATTTAGCTTTAAAATTATTCTTATTGCTTGTTTTTGAAGGATAAGAAGTTCATCTAAATTTTCATTTGAGGTACTACCATATAAAACGATATCAAAAGCGATATGAGACTGTACAAGGGCATGATAAAGGGTTTTCATTGTAACCAAAGTGCTAAATTTAGAAACCTTCCTTAATGCAAATAAACCAGAAGCTAACTTTTTAGAAATTGATAAAACATGATTATTCCAATTTAAGTTTTTGTCAATTATTAGGCCCAAGAATCTAGAATTATCCACCTCTTCCAACACATGATCATTAAGAAATATTGTCAACTCAGGTGCAGGTCTAATTCTAGAGCAAGCTGTAAAAGTGATGAACTTAGTTTTATTAGGATTCAGTAGCAAGCATTTTTCGTTAAGAGCCTGTTCTAAGGTTGAAATCTGGTTAAAAGCGGAAACTTTGATTTCATCAAGAGTTTTACGTGATATCAGCAAATTTATATCATCTGCATACATTGTGATATTATCAAAAGGTGTGATGCTAGGTAAACCCTTAAGATAGCATAGAAAAAGTAATGGACCCAGAATAGAGCCTTGAGGGACTCCGAACTTAATATCTTTAATATTCGAATTACGGTGTATTAACTGATTGAAATGATTAATATGTTTAATTTCAACAAACTGTTTTCTGTTTTTTAAATAAGAGTCAAACCATGAAAAAGCCCTATTTTTTATTCCCAGTTTTTGAAGAATTACAAGTAGGCTTGAATGTGATACACTGTCAAAAGCTTTACTAAGATCCATAAAAATACCAATTAATTGTTTTATTACCCTTATCCAAAGAATTTAAAGCTGACTCAATGAAATCAATGCTGGCAGTTATTACTGATTTCCCGGCCCTAAAACCATGCTCTTCTTTGTCTAACAGTTTGTTACACTCTAAAAATTCTGTTAACTGAATAGCCATAACTCGTTCATAAATTTTGGAAAAAACAGGAAGTAATGACAGTGGGCGATAATTTGAAACTTCTTTACAGTCATCTGCCTTAAATAGAGGTTTTACTTTAGAAATTTTTAACTTGTCCGGAAAAATACCTGATATAAAAGATGAATTTATTAAATGACACAACGGTAGTAACAGATAGGTTCTGGCATGTTTTATGATTGTTATAGGAATATCATCATAACCGGTTGAAAACTTATTATTGAAGGACATGATTACTTTTTCCTGCTGATGAGGCTCTATACTAGTTGGAACAAAAACTTTATCAGTATAATTAGGCAACGAAATGTTGGAAGAAGCTGCAACTTGATTCAACTTAGGAATTACATTTGTCTCAACTAGATTAATATAATGATCATTAAACATATTGCTAACTAAACAAGGATCTTTTATTTCTGATCCACCAGAGTTCAGTGCTATATTTGTTTCAATGTGCTTATTTTTAATAAGCACAAATCAAGGAATTGAGTTCTTTATCTTCTGGTATGACTCAAAAAACTTAAACTGG